CAAAACAGTGCTGTGTGCACTGCCACTTCCGTCAAGTAGCAATGCGGCCCACACCCCTGCTTTACAACAAATAACATACAGGAACTACAGTAAGGTAGACTGGACTCCAGCGAAATCAATGTTAAGATTCTCAGAATGGAGAGAGTACTTCTATGCTAATAACCTCTCGAAAGCTCTAGACATCTTTTACTATAACTCAAACACATGCTTAGACGCTGTGATCCCATTGCAAAAAGTAAAAGTCTCAAAATTCAAGAAGCAATTTATTCCACCAAAAGATCGCTCAAAACTGAGGAGACTGTCAACAAGTTACTTCAGATGACACAACTTTAGTACACTAGGGTCAATACTTAGTACTCTGAGCTGCATCTCGCAAGCTCATAACTTGCGTATGAGAAATGAAGAATGCACTGCACTAGCCAGCACCACCAGAGTACGTGCTCTCACAGAAATCCTAAAGAAACGAATGAATCGCCAAATCCATAAAATTTCACTCCTTATAAACAAGGGTAAATTATACAGCAACCATGCAGACATCTATGAACTGTTTAACGAGACGTTTGCAGCTAACTACCTTAAGCCCACAAGTACACATCTCGGTTTACAATCTACAATGGAACTCCCTTCTTCTTCAACCCTGAAACAAATCAGTGCAGTTCATTTCACTTATTCTAATACTAACCAAGCCATTAATACTCTCAAAAGCTCTTGTAGTGCTGGTATTGACGGTATACCGTCGTATTTTTATAAACACGGTAGTTCTGACATTTTATTACTTAAGATCTTTACAATGTCCGTAGAAAGCCAAACCTATCCGGATAAATGGAAAACCACATTTATAATGCCCAAACACAAATCCGGATCGAAAACTGAAGTCAGCAACTATAGGCCCATAGCATCCAGAATTATTGAAAGAATAGTTAAAGGTGATATTCTCAAACGTATGCTCAGCTGCAATATTCTAAGTCCCAACCAACATAGATTCCTAAAATCCAGATCATGCATGACATGTCACCTTGACTTCTTTAACTATATAACTAGCAGCCGAGACAGACAACAACTAGTACTAGTCATCTACTTCGACATCTCCGAAGCCTTTGACCGCGTTGACCATTTGCTTCTAATAAGTAAGCTGAACTCCTTAGGAATACGTAACCCATTATTAGGATGGATTGAATCATTCCTTAACAAAAGGTCCCAAGTGGTTAGACTGGGGTCTGCAAACTCCAAACCTAGTCCAGTCAATTCTGGAGTAGTTCAAGGTAGCGTCTTAGGCCCCTTTCTTTTCACTCTATATGTCAACGACATATGCAGCTGTTTCTCACTTGCTAAACCATTCATCTTTGCAGATGATCTTAAAGTAGCTTACACATTCCACTGTGATGACTTAGGATACTTTCAGAAAGCTGTTCAGGAAGAACTAGATAGAGTAACTGCATGGTCCTCCACATGGAACCTAAAATTCAACCTTAAAAAATGTGGTTGGATCTGTTTCGGTGCACCCTCCATAAATATCAAACTGGTACTTGAATCAATTGACTTGCCTAAAATCCAAAGTGTTGCTGACCGAGGACTCAGGTACTCTAGTGATCTGACATTTTCTGAGTAAGTGGCGACACAGACGCGTAAATCGAGGATGCTCTTAGGATGCATACTCAGAAATTTCTACAACTACGAAGCGAAGCTATTATTATATAAAACTTGTGTCAGACCACTACTTGAATATTGCCCATTTATACTCAGCAGCACTCGCGTAAGTGACAGGCTTAAAATAGAAAGTGTCCAACGATACTTCACGTCTAAACTTCTAGGATTTGACTGCGAAAAGGACTACACATCAAGGCGTATAATCCTAGGTATCAACCCACTCTGGATGAGACGACTGAGCATTAACCTAACATTCTTCTTTAAAATCTTGCATAAAATATCATTTTCAGACAGTAAGGAGATACAGTTCTCACCGGAAGGCTCTTACAACCTTCGTAACCAAATGTGCACAGCATCAAGGACACCTGTAAGACAGCACTCCGTTCAAACTTCTTCGTAGTCATATACTCTAAGATCTGGAACAGTTTACCCCTAGAAATAAAAACCTGTGACTCTATTATAACCTTCAGACGCTTGCTGTATAAACTGCTTCATCCCAATGACTATACCAATCAGACCGCACCCCTTATTTTTAAAAAGCATCAGCTATGAGAACACTATAGCGCCTAGACTCACTACTAAATATTATGACAGTAAATAAACTCCAAGACTTCGCAAAAATACATGAAAACACAGCTAGAATATGGGATATGTTTACTATACGGTTATATATATTTATAAACATTTATATATACATAAAAATATTAATGTTCTTTTCATGTTCACATACTTTCTCTTTCTGGGATTCTGTTGCTGAGCATATACTTCTATATACCTCCTGGTTGAGGTCGAAAAACCCTACATTTAAAATGAAATGACCATTTAAGTAAATTCAAACTCAAATTCCATGAACGATCCGATGCTACCATTTGAAAACGCTGGCCAACATTCTGTACAAGGATTATTCTTGATCTGAAATAAAGAAGCAACTGGTTTTCCAACAGTTTTCAATGTATTACCCAACTTACGTGTACACTCTGCCATGCTGATACAAATGGTGCCAATGGATAGTTCTAGAATCGACCTCGGCCCTATTCCATGCAGTAAAACAATCCAACATGACCTTATCCAGTTTTCGTATCAACGATCAAATTTCTTTCCTATTATAAAACTACAATCAGACTGCTGAAAAAATGGAGTAAATACATTACTGACCTCAAAATAATACATCAATTAACTTTAAATCAAGGATGCTGTTCACAACAAAGTTATATAGGAGAATTGACTTCAAGCTTCATTTTTCCCAGATATTTGTATTACACTCATCTGATGTCTAGGTTTTTTGTTAATGCGAAGACAATACTTCTATATCTCTTTACGTGTTGCACAGACAGACTATTTTGCAGACTGTCCCGACTGACTTTAATGTCAGAAAGAACAAATAAACTGTAAATTCATCATACATAGAAATATGTGTGATTTATATAATAACTTATCCATGTCTGTACAGTTGGTATGCTCCTGCATAAACAGGAATAAATATATATACAATAAATTGCAACTCTACGCGTCGTCATCGCACACAGCATTCAATGGCAGTCAAACCTCCACCTTAGCTTCATGGACTTCGAAGAGGCCTTCAGTAGTCTTGACCGAGAATTAATTTGAAGACTGCCTGAACACTATGGGGTGCCGCAAATCAGTACCAACCTCATTCAGCAGCCATTTAACAATGTTACGTGTCAGGAAAACTCAGTAGAGACTTTGAAATGAACGCACCAGTAAGACAAGGCTGCCTAAGTATCATCAATGGCAATATTCATATTCGTGATGGATTGGATCACGCATCAGATTGTGAACAGGGAGTGAGAAGAGAGGAATACGGTGGACTGATAAGAAGACCCTAGAAGATCTGGATTTCACAGTTGATTTATGCCTAATATCACACAAACTTGAGGACTTGCAAGAGGAAATCAACAAACTGACTGAAGAAGTGGGCGGCAAAGACAGGACTTCAAATGAACATAGAGAAGACAGAGGTGATGAAGACGACCAGCTAACAACACCAATCACTATCAACCGGAGAGATGTGACAGAGTTTACTTCTTTCACTTATCTTTGATGTACTATTTTAACCACAGGCTGGCGAACGGATGAATATATCAAAGCCAACCATAGCTGAAAACGCGAAATACGCATTCGTCACTCCTAAACCAGTTTGGAAGTCTTCCGCAATCCACAGCATAAATAACAAGATTAGGATATTCAATATAAGCGTCAGACCAGTTCTTCTATACGGGACAGAAACTTGGCCAGCGTGTCACGAAAAGCATTACCAACAGCCTTGAGACTTTTGTCAACAGCTGCTCTTACTGGACCCATAGTGAAGATCAAATAATGAGAAACTATGACAACAAACCAACCGAGAGCCTCACGTTTAACAGATATTTTGGAGAAAGTGGAAATCTATTGGGCATGAGTTGAAGGGGCCATCGAATGACATCACGTGCCAAGCCATCACTCAAATGGAATCCTAATGGCAAGCGACGAATTCATCGTTCGACAGTGACATGGGGGAGTTGGGTAGAGTAGAGGGGATGAGAGGCTGAGAACAATCATTGACACAGTGAAGAGGACAGCAGAAAATAGGACGAAGTAGAGATGTGTCGTTGACGCTCCATGTTCCACTCGGAACCCAAGTAGTAATATATAAATAAATAATGTTGTGACTGAAACAATAACAACTTTATTTTGCATTGCGTTTACATAGGTGTGACACTTCTGCTTGGCGTGAAACACCAAAAAAAGGAATTATGATGTCTCCCCATTGTATTCTTTGGTAAATGCATGTTATATGGTTGAATAGCGATTAGAAAAGTTTCAGGAATCCATTCTGTGAACCAAGGAAACAACCCAAGAACAGCTACCTCTTGCATTGCAATACATCCCAACCCATGATTGCTTTTTCGCACAATACCTAGAAACTTTCGAATCAGTAAGTTGTAAGAACAATAAATACTCGCCAGGGTATAAGAAGTAATTGAAGGCCACATTCTTTCAGATTTCAGCAAAGTGAACGTGGGGAAATATCTGTGAAATATCGGTGTGATTATTCAGTGGCCAAAATCTAGGCCGGCCGCCACCACTCAAGGACTACGGATACAACACCAAATCATTGGAAAAGCTTGACTGACTGCGCTGAAATCTGTCAAAAGCCAGAACCGTCTCGAAATAACAAGAAGCGATTATCAAAAATCATGATATTGGATATTGGAGAAAAGCCTTACCCGACTAGAGCATATTTCTTTTTACTACCTTCTGCAAACATCGAACTATAGTACTACCATTTATCGGAAGAGCAACGAAATACTAACACAACTAGGTTTATTTATTTATCACAAATGAATTGGATACTGAATAATAGGGAATGAAGTAAACGCTCAATATTCGAAAAGTGTAATTAGTTATCACAATTCGTCTCCTGCATTCTCTTGTGTTGAGTGAAGATTTTCTCAACAGAAATTCAGGGTCACAAAATCATGAAATTAAAGTGTTTATTCAAATAATGCTGTAAATGAAGAATACTGAGAATGGAAAAATTTGGAATCGTGCACTTTTAAATCTAATGTTAACCTCACAGCACGTTGATCAATGGAAACTGCTGTAGAAAGTGCTATAAATGCAACAGTTAGAATACTTGATCACATGTTAAAATATTCATCAAGAACTGACTATGCATCTGATGAGTTCAAAGAATTGACAAAACTTTTTGTTAAGAGCTACTTCGCCATTGAAAGCCCAGAACACGTTGCTGATAGTTATAGGCTATGGATTGCATGCAACGTGTTGTCCAGTGAAAAATATGCTTGCGGAGTAGCTAAGATATTTGTGGACCTAGGAAATCTGGCTCTTTGTCCTCAACACGAAGGACGTCCATTAATAGATGAAAAATATGTTGCTCTCTTAGCAAGTCTGCAGTCAACACTATGCAACTACGTTGAGTTGAGCATAAGCTTGGCAGAAGCGATGTGTGTTCAAAAAGCTTATATGGGGGAAATATCACGCATATTATCAGTCTGCGCAAAGTATATTGGGAGCGAGTTGGAGAGAGTGAGGAATTTAAATTCTAACTTTTTCCTCTAGAAAATCACATTCATAGCTGAAGTGATCATAAAGAGTTTGTACAACTTCTCATGCCGCGATAGCATTCTGGTACTGAATGCTTTCCGAAATCTGCATTTGACTGACTTAGTATTAAATTTTACTTTTAGTAAAAATAAGGATCTGCAAGTATGAGGCTTTCTAAGTTGATATTTTTCTAGATTGCATCCTACATGTTCTTGACATATATTTACGGAGAGAATGATCAAAGTACACATGTAGTAGACTTTTTCACCTTTTCTCTATTGCCGAACATTACAGTACATTCAGACAGAGTGTATGGATACAAATGTGAAGAAATCCTTAAAGGTAAATATTATCAGTGTACTTCGTTTTTGTCGGCAAACATTACAAGTATGTTACTTCATTTACTATTTTATTACGTCTACCTAATTGACACATTCCAAATTATTATTTTAGGTTCCAATTTATTCTTTCCATTGAACTAAGTTGTGGAGAATAAGAGCTTTTTACTTTTGCCGGTAAATTTCGGATTAGTTGCAACAAATGAGACATTAATTAGTTAAATGATATATATTTTTTGAATCCAAAATTTTTCCTGAATGGCAAGACCATTTTTAAAAAGAACAAAAATTCAGGTTCCATTCATATGCTTGGGTAAAGAAACTATTACAATCTAAAATATCATACACTATCTTTATTGTCATTAATCCTACAGCCTCTGTTTTGCTTTCTAATTGCATCTGACGGTCGCATACTATTCCTTTTTATCAGGTGTACCTCAGTTTTGGCTTAAAATAAAAAAGCTTGATTAGCATTCCTTCAAAGGTGAAATGGTAATGTGGTTTACCAAGATATTCGTGATTACTGTAAACAAACAAATTTCATTTACTCAAGCTAATTAAATTAAAGTCTTTCTTACTTTCAAAGTTTGTAAGCCCCCTGTGCACACCTTCTAATCTAACCATAAGAAGGACAGAATAGACAGACATGCCCTGTGAAAGATTGTCAGCTGCTTAATTTGACAGCAAAATATGGGTTGTCAATTACTACCACCACCACAACTATGGGATCTTAAAAATAACGTGTTGATGATACCGGTATGTTTGAATTTTATTTTTTTAAAATGGCGTGAATGCGGTGGTGTTTTTTTCTGTCAATAGTGTATGGACTGCAGACACGTCTGAGAGTAAGAGCTACACTTTACACTGGTTTATTTTGAAATTCTTTACTTTTAATGGTAGTTGATAGCTATACACACACACACGTGCGTCTGAGAAATATGTAACCGTGTGTAGGAAAATAAGGGATTCATCAGAAGGGTTATAATTCTGCATCAGCCAACATAATAGGTACGGCAGTAGTGAATCCTGAAGGTCTTCACCCAATGATCAGTTTTTTCAAAAAACTGGCAAGTAGCCTTATATTTTATTTGACACCAGACGTTTTTGTTTATTCATAATATGCAGAATAATTATTGGTGTGTCAATTTACAAAGGTTACTTTTCAACTGGTGAAGTGTATTCGTACCGGTTGGTACGTGGTTAAATTACTGAATGTCTTTTTTCTCATAGAATTGTCCTGATAAGACAAAAATGACATTTTCTTTGAGAGTCGATTCACACACCTTAGAAGAATTCAGCAAATTGTAGTTTATGATTCGTGCCTACTGAAATGCTGAAATAGGGGCGGAATTATTTGTCCAAATTTTTAATGTTGTAATCGTTGTGCACGCAGTCATACAAACGGCGTTTTATTTTTTGGTGTTTCCGTTTATTCAGAGGTTAAGAACAATTACTGTCTCCTGATTGCCTACAGATATTTTCAAGTTTTAATGACGTTGGGATTGGCAGGAAAATCCAAAATAATCTTAGGTGTTTTGAGGCGTGTTTGTGGTTTTTTATTTATGGGAATTCATGATTTCTCGGAGGCATTTCTGGGTACAGCATATTTGGTCTTATGAACTTATTACGTAGTTTTAATGAGCACAAAATATTGAAAGATATACCACTTAGCTCAATATCTTAGTAGTTATGTATAGTATCTGAGGAACCAGTTGATTTGAGCTCGCTTCCAAGTGGCTTCAACTAGAAATAACGCCCATGATTGATGTGAGCTAGCCACACTACCTGCTGACTCTTCAGCCTAGCCCACCTAACCTGGTGGCCTTAACACCGCTCCAGTAAGCTAAAGGACAACATAACACTTACGGCTGTAGAAAGCTGTGTTATTACTGATGATATGAGTAGACTATAGAGATATACAATCGCACCCCAACGAAGCTTCCAAGCTCTCATCCTTTAAAAATCCAATTGTCTACACCGTGTTTCAGTCCACACAGATAAACGAATTGGTAGTTGAAGGTTTGATAGATTTGACGAACTTCTTTGGTCCTCTACAAACATACAATACATACGAACACATATGTGCACGGATAAAAAATCTAACAAGACCTGAAACAAATTAATTCCGGTCTAAGTCTTCTTTTTTCATATCGATCCCTCACAAGCAAAGGCTAATGGATAAATGTCACACTGTAGAGAATTTTTTAAGTCAAAAAACAACATGAGCTAAGTGAAATGAAGATATGTATAGTTTGCATGGCTTCGGTCCTCAGAATATCCAGAGTCAGTAGTCTTGAACTCTTTGTGACATAACTGAAAACTAGCAGCGCGAATACATTCACTCCTTATCATATGCGAAATCCTGAAAATTTTCATCTGATAGTTCTTTTCCTCAGATATATTTTCTCATTAGAGTTTTGCTAAATTCGTTTTAAGTACTCATACGTATGCTTTCTCAAGTTATAGCAACGTCAGATGATGCATTTCTTTGTAAAATTCAAGGCTGATTTTTAGATTATTCAGGTTACAGTGTTACGTAATCTAAGCTCATGAAACCCTAGCCTTAGTTGTCCCAACGGCTTAATTAGAAAGCCCAAATTCTATTTTAGTAATAAAATGATCAAACAGAGATCTTATAATTTTATCCTAAATATTGTTGTGGCAACTTCAATCACTATCACAATTTAAAACTTCTTTACGAATTTCAAACGGTAGCTTAGAATGTGTCGTACACGTCTTAATTGAAAGATTTCATGAAGGCTTAAAATTTTGCCGACTTATTAAGCTTCTTAAGATACTAGTATGTGTGTAACAACTGATATACCACTTCAATTCGATTCAAATTTAAGACGTTACCAGAAGTGTATACCGGAGTTTGCGAATACTTTAATTTATAGGATTGTGTTATTTGTGTGTGTGCATCCAAAAGATGAGAAATCTTGAGCAGTCAATTTAAAAGAAACTACTGTGCTTACTGCAGACATTTATTTTGGAAAAGTAAATGAATGCTTACTATAACTTCCAAAAGATTTTGTAGTGGGTTCTAGAAATGATTTACTGAATCTCTTCTACAGTAGATCAGGAAACTGGCAGACATACCACTCAGGTTTCTCAGTCAGCTAAACCAAGTGCTTCACGACAAATTATGAATGTTTGGATTTAACTGAAGGAGAAAGTACACTTAGGAAATGATCTTGAAACTACTAATTATTCAATATTTTTCTTTTACCTTTCAGTTGTTATTGGAATTAAGAATAAAAAACTGTGTTTTAATAACTTTTCCATACTTTAAAGTGATCACTATGCGAGTGTCTTCTTGCTTCTAGAACTTAATATAAATGGCAGGCACTGATTATAGAAAATGTAACTTCTAATAATAGATAACTAATCAATTCAAATGTTATATACCTGCCCGTCTTTAGAAGCTTCTATATTTGACCGTTTCATATTTCAGAAGACATGGTGATGTCAAAAATGAGTTAGATGTGTTCGAATTAAAATGTGTATCCTATTGATAACTTTATACGGAAAACACAAGATATCTGGTTAGGTTCCTGAAGATGTTGGAAATCAGTTGTCTAAGATTGTTGACAAAATATTTCACATTAATGCAAGTAAATTCACTCTTCAAAATAATGAATGTTACTAATCTCCATCAAATAACCTTCTGTCAAGTATTTTTATCCAGTGGTTAGGACTCTCGCCGACCATGCACATGGTCCGGAGTTCGATCCCCTGCCGGCGCACACCCGATATCTATGGTCGGCCTGAATTTGGGCTACCGATATCCATGCTGAAAATTCCACACTTGTACTGAAAATACGGTGTGGAATCAAGCTGTAAATAAAAATAAAAAAAATAAAAATAAAAAAATAAAAATCCATTATAGTACCACAACATTTATGTCACGTGTACAAAATGTGGCAATGCGAACTCTGCTGGTTACACTCTGACATTTTGTCTCTGTGTAGGAATTTATCATGGTTATTTTAGAGGTACAAAATAATCTATTTGAACTCTGATCAAGATTTGATGAAATCTTTCCAAAAACATTGGGCTCCGAGTAAAATGTGGACATAAGTACAAACTATATTTTTACAAATCTCAGCAAGACTGCTAAAAATAATTTCAATGTTTCGTCTAACAACAAACTGGCTTAAAATTTTTCTGCGGTTTATACAGATGTATTTTTATGAATGTAAGGGTAAGTTAAAATCATTGAGACCGCTGCTTCCAGTTATCAATGCGGTCAACTTCAGATGTTCCTCTTGAAAATGGGTTGCTCGTATTTCTAAGCAGTAGTACTGTGAGATTAAGATGAACTTTTTGGTAGCTCTTTACCATGAACCAAAACTAATACTTTTGTGTCTTTCTGCACTTTCCTGTCTGCTGCCACTCAAGATCATTATATAAACTTCCCGTCTGTGTGTATTAAAGCTGCAGTGCACACAACCATCTTAATTATTTAGATTGTGACCTTTAGCTTTCTTCACTGCAGTGAGTTTAATTTAAGACAGTCACCGATATTTACTGGATGGTTTGAAACAGCCGCACCAGTAACACACAAATGACAGTTACAATTATTGATATATCGTTATTTTCAAAATGTGTAATATCATAGTCACATATATCAATTTTGTGCTCAAGGAATGCATAAAATAACTTTTGCGATATTTCTTTTTCCAAAAAATATTTTAAAGGTTTACGGCTTTTAGCATCAAATGAAAAAAACCTGGAGTCCTCATCCTATTATACAGTCCTGCAATACTTGAAATTGTTTCTGAATTCTTTCAAAGGGAAAGCATTAGAAGAAACTATACTCATCCTGTGGATTTTATCATTCAGTCCTGGCATTAAAAATCAAATAAACAAAGAATTTAAAGATGACATAAAAAATCTAGCTGTGTCTATGAAACAAAAGCAGTCTGAGTATTCTATAGAATCACTGAAAGCAATTTATGGGCTTTTATGGCAGCTGAACGAAGGTTAGTTTACAATGGTAAATAACGTATGCATTGTCTTATACACATGGGTTATCACATTAAACTACTTTTGTTCAATAAACCGTGGATACTTTCTAAGTACGTTTATGGAATTACCTAATAAATATCAACCATTAGCAAAAGACAATCCTGCTGACTAATACACTGTAATGCAGAATAATATAAAAATCAAGGAAGATAAAGATTATCAGTGCAACGATGAGGGCCTTTTGAACTCACCTGTACAGACTTAAAAATAGACCAGGACATTTTTCTTGAAATAATGATATATTATTATTGTTCTCTTGGGTTTTATGTGGAACGTAGGCAGTCAGTAACACATCTCCACTTTGTTCTATTTTCTGCCATCCTCTTTAGCTGGATCAACGATTGCCCATAACCTCTCATCTACTCCTCGCACGATCTCATTCATGTAACCCTCGGATAACCCACTCGACGGACCCCATTTTGATTCCACTTGAGGACTTGGAGTGCGATGTCATTTAATGGTTTCCTAATTCTGTGTCTGATCCATCTCCATTTTCTTCTAATTATTTGTCGAGCAATCGGGTCTTGGTTGGTTTGTTGCCAGCTAGAGTTTCTTGTTGCTAATTCTTTCTGGACATCTAGTCTTCCATGTGGAGAAAAGGTAGCTGTTGACAAAATTCTGAAACCTGTTGGAAGTGCTTTATGTGATGTGCAATGTTTCTCACCAGCATTGAAAAAGTTACTGAATTGATACCTGTGTTGAAAATCCGAATCTTGTTATTTGTGCTGCAGAGTGAAGAAGATTTCCAAACTGATTTCAGATTGTTAAAGACGTATCTCGCCTTTCCAATTCTGGTTGTCTTTGAAATCATCATCCGTGTCACTGTCTGTAATTGAAAAAATGCTTCCTGGAGAAGCGAAGGAAGTCACTTCTTTCAAGTTTTTCCCACTGATAGTGATTGGTGCTGTTTGTTGTCTCTGTTGGTTAGTCTTCCTTGTCATTTCTGTCTTCTCTATGTTAACTTGACGTTATGTCTTTGCTGCCAGCCTCTTCAGCCAGTTTGTGTGATATTAGATATAAATCATCTTCAAAATCCAGAACTTTGAGATTATTTTCAATGGTCCAGCGTATTCCTCTCTTCTAGCTCTCCATAGTCTAACGCATGATCCAGTCCATTATATTCGTGGAATATCACTGGTGGTGATAGGCAGCTTTTTATTACTGCTGTCTTCACTTCAGTGGCTTCGCTGAATTTTGCGTTGTGGATCAGCTGACACGTGGCTTTGTCTCTGTGATATAACAAAGTAATTATTACTTACAAAAGTACTTGCATAACCCATTAACTCACCACTAACACATATTGCGATATCTATGACTCAGATGTCAGCTGGGCGAAGAAAGAACATTTTTAGTCTAGATTTGTGATTAGTCACTTTCACAATATAAAAATTCCAGTAGGTCAACTAACTACAAATATGGTCAAACTACAAAGTATATTTATAATGTCTTTTAAGTTCTTGAAGCAAGATAAAGGAATATTAGTTAATGCTCCAGATCATCTTGATACAATCATCTCCCTTCAGGAGAATATCAGAATTGTTTCGTCGATTCATCGACAAAATTAGTATCAGCTGCACTATGGCACTAGTTTAAAAGGGGAATATTTTCTTGGAGGTTGTTGACATACTGTAGTGATAAGTTAATTGTTAAGTGATTATTATTATTATTTACAAAATCTTAGGTGAAGCATAGAAATTAACCAGTGACTAACTGGTCTATTTTAGATACTTTAACCTGAAAAACAAAGAGTAGCAAAACATAGCAGCTATTCATTGCATACACTTTTATTTGTTTACTCATAATTAATTCGAATGTAGAGTAAAATTTGAACAAAACCATATTTGTCTCAGGTTTGACCATGGATTGATATCAGTTAGAGAACCATTGAAAATTAAGGAATGCTGGACAGCTGTTAAGTTCTAGCTGGGAACTCATCGGGCCTACGCACCCACTGAAGTTCGAACATAGAACCTTCCGGTTACAAGGTAGACTCGTCGACCATTAAGCCACTGGGACTCGACTCAGTGGCCAGGCATGAACTTCTACCAATTTGTGATTTTAGCGCCACCAACATACAGTTTTATCAGTGAGTATTCATCACCGCTCCCAACGTATGGACCCAACTAGTCGCAGTGGCTGAGTGGTCTACAGGCTTGTCTTGTGACCGTAAAGTCCTGGGTTCGAACTCCAGTAGGTGTATACTGATAATGAGTCACAAACACTAGGACGGAACAGCTGTCCAATACTGGTATCTATGCGTGGTACTAACTGAAAACAACGTGTAAAAACCCATCATTTTAAAGGCTTTAACAAATATGACTGTTAAGCCTGACTCATCCGTTGAGTAGTGAATTTCGGATTTCGACATAAATAGATCGAAAATACCCCATAGTAATGAAGAAAATAAAAGGCGATTCAGAGTAGAAAACCTTCTTTATCGATGAAGTCATCTTCAAGAGCTGCACAATCATATTTACATTTACTTAAATCGTAAAGCAGTCTGGTATTACAGGGTTGTTTGACATAATTCATGATGTAACTCAGAAGTGATTTCTAAAGAGGTTACATAATAGTCAGCGACACAATGGAAGTTAAGGCTTTAAATTGGATGGGGCGAAAATTACTATTTGATAAGAGGTGAGATAGCTGAGTGTCCACTTGAGAAGCGTGAGGAATATTAAAAAAACCAACTAAAGGCACAGAAATAAAATAAAATGGAGATAGTAGCAAATTACTTACTAAAACCAGAAGCAACAAAGTAGAAAGGAGTTTAAAAATTTGGTAGAATTACAGACCAGAATAATTTCTCCCACACACATACATCGGAGGTATATTGGTGAATCGAAACATAACATTCCTTGTACTATTCAGCCTTATCTTTTAGATAATTTTAAAACAGGTCTTTAATGGATCACTGTAACCTGAGTTCAATGAGTATGTGATAATAGAGCTAGTCATTGACTTTCACTGTCTTCTTGATAAGAATACCAGATAATTTCTCAGACATGTTCTTGGAAAATATGAGCTTTGTGCAGCCGGTACAGCTAGCTGGACAGAAGCAAGTGAATTTATAAACACACTGAGTACTGATGTCTTAGTTACCTGGATTTTGTTTTGTATACATCTATCTAACTTCTTAAATGTTTAACAACCCACCCTAAATAGTGAACTCAAGGGATCATGAAAATAAATTTCACTACTATATAGAGGAGGTGCTTTACAATTAAACACACATATTTAGGTCTAATGAAAACTAGAGTGTGATATTTGCCATAGAAAATACACTAAAATATTATTTCTGACGTTTTACTTTGTCTGTATTCTAGATGACATTTCTGTAAAATCTATGCCCAAAGTAAATTCCCTTGCTTCACCTGATGAACATATTATGGTTAGCTATAGTCATAAGGAGAAGGATATGGCCGTAGAATTAATTAAGCATTTGAAAGAAAAAGGTTACAAGGTAAGTAGAAATTCAATTTTATCTTTTTCACCAAGCTGATACCTTGCTCATTTTAAAACTCCTTCGATATTAAAGAAAAGAAAAACAAAAACACACGAAATACTTGTAGATAAGTCGATTTTTAAGGCATATTTGGTAGGCTAAGCTCTGTAAGGAAAATCGTTTTAACCAATTTATATGTAACCGTTTGTTTCTATTAAATATTTCATAGATAGGTGTGTCAACAGTACTATACAAGACGACACATGAAATTGAGAAAAATGTAAACCGCTTCAGATTCACCCCTTTTCATTTTATGCCATCAAGATTTGTAAAAGCCATTTTAAATGACGCAGTCAGTGTGACGAATGTACCAATACAGAACTTCAAAGAGAAGCGCATCAGTGTGACTTGCATCACTCCATAAATGTAAACAAAATTAGAGTTAGTATAAATCCTAGAAGGTGATATGAGAAAGTTTGAAATTCATTGAATTCTTTTAATCCGGAAACATATTTCTGTGCATGTTTTAATAATTGATGTCTTCGTTGATGTCTTAATGTACGTTATATAACATTTTTATTACCATCATCAACTGACAACTTGTGAGCTCTGTAGGGTTTTTATTTGTAAGAAATAACACTGTCAGGTATACACGTTTTATGGATTTATCAAGCGAGAATAGTAGTATTTATACAATTTTCGATTACTGCGCTACATTTGCATAGTTACCTAAAACTCTGATTTTTGTGGAATATCTTGTCAAAAAGTTGCAAAAAGCTATTACATTATTTGACTTTGAAACAATGAATCTTTGGATATAATATTGTATATCAATTACACCTATAACTATCTATTTGCCACTCCAAGGGTGACTTGGAGGAGGTCATGTGAAGAGGAAATGAAAACGTGTGGGCAGACATGGAGCCAGGTGAAGACTCTAACGGAGAATAGAACGCAATGGAGACGCACGGCTGAAGCCCTATGTTCCTGTAGGAATTAAAGGATACAATAATAATAATATACCTGACTGTAGAATTCTAATTTTCAAAGTGTACTACTTAAAAAGTATCAAATAAAAGTCATTAATAATATGATTATTACAAATTATCATAATTAAATCAATTGTCAGATTTTCGACTGGCTGAAATCATTTAAACCAGTTAATTATTAGGAGATCGATTCATACAAACTGACAAAAGATATTTCACCAGGGAAAATTTTCTTTTAGACCAAAAATTTTCAAAAGCTCTTCGTAAGTACGTACGTACGTTCGTACAATCATAAAATCAGTAAGTAGTTACATAACTGACTGATAGGTTGAGGTTAGTAAAGAATGTTACAGGATTAGTGACAATGCTTCTGGAAATAACTGTTACATCTTACATGAAAAGACTAGCTGTCTTTGATCATAGGTGCCTGTGTTCTATCTCCCGTGTGTGTGAAGTGGTATAATAGGGTGAGCAATATTGAGGTTAGGCATCGGTCGAGTGCTGGGTAAGGAGGGGAAATCAATCGACGAGGCTACATCGACTCAGATGGTTAGAACATGTGTTACGTATGCCTAGTCATCGCCCTCCTCGACGGACAGTGTTAGCTGACATAGGGTCAGGCTAGAAAAGAGCTAGATGCGGTCAAACCAAAACTTGGCGCCAGTCAATGAAATCCACAACGTTGGAAGGTGTAGACTTCCTGGTTGGGGTCGTCGGGATTGTAAACACCAAGGGCTTTAGACAATTGGTGATATGGCTCAAAATCGTTCTCAATGGCTGGTGCAAACGCATCAACTCCTTGTGACTTATAATTTCCAATGAAACTATATTGTTCTTCGTTACTACTATTCCTTTTGTTTCATATTTCTGTCTACTATCTCTGTTTCGCATTTCTTCTACTTTCTTCTCTTGCTTTGTGTGCTACATGGAGTGTGGCGACTTGAACTGCTGCACAATTGTGCGAAGTTCTATGTTAAAAACAGACAGACAGTATATATATATAAGTATGACAACCTTACTCTGATCTGATATTCAAAAAGATTGCCAAGATCTATCACTTAACCCGTTCCCAATATTCAGTTCTATATAAAATAATTTCCACAATCTATATAAATAAAACATGTTTCAAAACTTTATTTTTAATAGGCACCTCCACTGTCTTTTGCATAAAAGTCAACTCCCCCTAAAGGTGACTATATAATCTATTTACATACATCAGTGTGTAAATACAGAAATGAATGGAGTTAATTTTGAAAAAAACAAGATTTCTTCCTCATTTCTGATGAACCAGTGTTTTCTTTTTCTTCTTCTGCCTCTTCTTCAGGTGTGGATTGATGCAGAGGATATGAAAAATACTGATAATATACTGGATGGTATGGCTGAAGCAGTGGAAAATGCCTATGTTGTATGTGTTCTGTTTTCTGAGAATTATAAAAGAAGTCCTTATACAAAGCGTGGTAAGTGACAACTCAGTATGAAGAACGGAACCAAACATACAGTGTAAATGAAAAGCTTATACAGTGTAACTCAATCATTAATTATCATTTACATGACTAATCAATAGAAGAATTATAGTTCCTTATTTGTGTGTGTGTGTTTACAGAAATCACTAGAATTACTATTACCAGTAATCCCTTGGGTTCTGAGGGGAACATAGGGCTTCAACAACACATCTCCAATTTGTCCTGTTTTCTGTAGTCATCTTCAGCTGGGTCGAGGAGAGCCCATAATCTCTCATCTACTCCTCGCCAAACGATCTCCCCTATATCACCATCAGACGACCTACTCGTTGCTTCCCATTCGGGTTCCACTCGAGTGATGGACTGGCACGCGATATCATTCAATGTTCTCCTAATTCTGTGTCTGATCCATCTCCATTTTCTTCTAAATGTTTTTTGGGCGATCTGCTCTTGGTTGGTTTGTTACCAGCCAGAGTTTCTTGTTGCTAATTCTTTTTGGCCAATAAGTCTTTAATGTGGAGTGAACATATCTGTTGATAAAATTCTGCAACCTATTGGGAATGCTTTTCGTGACGTGCAGTGCAAGTTTCTGACCCATATAGGAGAAGTGACTGAATTGACACTTGTGTTGAAAATCCAAATCTTGTTGTGTATGTTGGCTGAGTAACAACAGAAGATTTCCTAAGCTGATTTCATACTGATGAAGGCGTGTCTTGACTTTCAGATTCAGTTTTGACATCCTAATCCGTTCCACCGGCTTGTGGTTGAAACGATGCTGGCTGCCTGGATAAGTGAAGGAGGTCACCTCTTTGAAGTTTCTCCCATTGATTGTGATTGGTGATGGTTGTTGATTTTATTGTTGCTGCTGTTGGTTGGTTGGTTGCTTGTCTTCACCACCTCTGTCTTCTATATGTTCACATAGAGCCTTGTCATATCTGCTTCTTCAGCCAGTTTGTTATTTTTCGCCTGTAAGTCTTCGAATTTATATGACATTAGATACATATCATCTACGAAATCCAGATCTACTAGATTCTTCTCAATGGTCCTGCGTATTCCTATATTCTCACTCCCCATAGTATGATGTATGATCCTGTCCATTAAACTCAGAAATATCATCGGTGGTGATAAGCAGCCTTGTCTTACTCTCGTTTTTACTTTGAACGCCTCGCTTTTTTACGGAATGAAGTTGCTAGCCGCACGTCTAAACTACCCTCTTTTACAGGATTAATACATATCAAGCCAGGTTTAGGAGTACGTCGGCCGGGTATTTAGTCCGGATCACATGTGTGGTTGATTGGTTGGTTTCATCTAACTCTTTATTTTTGTCCTCATGCAATGATATACATATATATAATTTTATGTTGCAAGCTGTTCAAAGAAGTTTCAGTTGTGAGTATAAAGGTCATGATTCAAGGAGTGAATGTCTTAGGAGCTTTTTTATTTTAACGTACGAGTTTATTTTCAGATATTGTTGATTGCTGATAAATGAGTGAGGCGAATAAAAGGAAGTGATTTTTTAATACTTTTTGACTGATACAAACCAGAAATGAAAACCATTCTGAAGGTTCTGGGCAGTGTCATTTCAAATACAGGTGGCAAATATAGGCAAGTCAAAGTTAGAAAGAATTGAAGAAGCAGGACAGATCCTCACTACTCTAGAACCAGTGTGTAAACCTGCTGTAGTCAGAATAAAGATGGGCTTCAGGTTTTCAGTGCTTATGTTAAGTCGGTTCCTGTGTATGGTTCAGAGGCTTGATGTGAGAGTCACCTAAAGCATTTTCAATAAGCCTCAGACTTTCATTAACAGCTACCTTCTCTTCATTCTTAAGATCAAATGACCAGCTGCATAGGATATGCTTCCGGAGAATCTGCAAATGAACTAGACAAGAATTTTTTACCCAGCAAGTCTTTAGAAGGAAGTGTAGATATATTGGAAATACTCTGTGGAGGTCATTGATTGACATCACAAGCCTGGACTTCGAGTGGAGCTGTAGTAAGAAATGACGAGTTGGCCGACTAAGAGTGACATGAATGAGATAGTGTTAGATGGAAGTGAAATCTACGAACAGTCGTTGAGCCTGTTATAGAAGTTTACAGAGAACAGAAAGAAATAGGGGTCTACTGGTGAAGCCCTACGTTGCACTCGGAACCTAACGGTGTAATAATAAATAATAATGAAGGCTCCTGATATTCTCTATTTCACTTTTAACTTCCACAACATTTTAAAATTAGTATCTCAGGTCCTAAGGTACAGTTACTCATCAACAAATCTTATTTTAAATTTTTATACAAACATTAAAATATTTCCTCTTATTATAAAAGTTTTATTTCCTTTTAGAAATAGAATATGCATTTAAATTGGGTAAACCGTTAATTTTTCTACGCGCTCAGCCAGACTACAAACCTGATAGTTGGCTAGGCCTTATGTTAGGCACACAGGTATATATTGATATCTCGGGAAAGTATCCCTTTGAAAAGTATTTTGTCGATCTGTGCAGAAGACTTGACAAATATCTTCCAAAAACAGGTGGGTTGATACATAAATGTTTTTAGACTTTCTAAATTACAATTTTGTTTGGCATAAATCATCATAGCTTTTTATGTGTCTTTTTTGAATAACATTTACGCAGATGTAAACATTAAGTGTACTTCAATGTGAAGCATATTATATTTGAAATCTGTGATAAAGATGGTGAAAAAAACATCACAATTAGACTATCCAGCTCACAGAATACAACAACGTTGAAATCATCCACCTGACTAAAAAATATTCTCTATACATCAGCGATGTATTGATTCTGTTGGAATTTCTTTGTAGTATATGTATTCAGTGTAATCAAAGGTAGTTATGACGCATATATTTCTGATGTGTTCATTTTCAATCATTATAGCGAAAATATCCATACAGACATCTATAAAAAACAATATAATTGAGCAAAGAATATCCTTTTCAATAATTTCCTCTTCTTGATCTACAATTATATATTATTTTTAATATGAAATTCTCTAAAAACAAATTGCTAGGACTTTCGGTTTTTCAATAAAAAGTTATTTCATTTTTTATAGGTCAGGTCACTTTAAATTCAAACTTCATTGTTTTGCACTGATATTTCGTAGGTCGGCTAATTTATAAAGGGAATTTCAAGTGTTAATTTCCTACCGTAAATAACGACTGCACGATTTCCTTGTTAATACTTCGTTTTTAGGAATAGACTGCATTTCAACAAAATCATCTTCTGCGAGTGAAAGCAAAGAGTGAATTCTTGTTATAACCCACTGATGTACACTCCGAATGGAATCAAAGTATAACAGTTCCTATGCGTTTATAGAATTTAATTGGAGCATTTTAACTGTGTATGTACTCTCTGGAATCTTGCATTTTCTAAAACCATTAACGTTGCATTTGTTCACATGGTCATTTTCTCTGAGCACCACTCTACATATTTCTATTTCTTTATTCGATATGCTTGTATATTTGAAAAAAAGAAACATTTATAAAGAGATTTTAACATTAATTTCCTTCTTTCTTTTTTAAATATGGCAAACTTTTTTCCAGGTGGCCAACCATATTACTAATATTACACTATACTACTTATTTCTTTCTTAGATGGAGACATCAACACAGAACATCTTATTGACTTTTATTTGGTTTTCTTTTAAACTATTCATCATTGCTGTTTATTTGATAATAAATACTCGTGGATTAAGTTGAAACTTTGTGAAACTCATATCTGTTAATTGAGATTACAACTGAGGCGCGAAACAAATAGACACATGAGCCGGTTGTCTAAGTCGAGTCGGTGACATTGACAGGTTCTCTGCAGTACTTTAGTATATTTTCATGACAGTAGGTGTTAATAGTTATCAAGATTCTATAAGATGAATAATGAAACCTAGAGAAGGTAAAGTATGGCAGCCAAAATCTCAGTTGCCTTCAGCAACCAATCAGAATTCCGATGCAAAAAGAGCCATTACCATTGAAAATGTATTAAAAATCATCACATACACTGGATGCTGACCTTTTATGTGTTGTAAAAATGTCTTCCAGTTTCTTCAAGGATAATCCATAGGGAAATCGCACCATCTAGCTGAATGCAGATCATGGTACTTTGAGATCCATTGGTATTCCTAACTCCATTCTTCGACCTACACTAAAATCCCTCGATAGACTTTGTGCGAGTACCTGTGGGTGGATCGACGAAGACGGAAGATTGGTTGACAAGGTGATGAGTAAAATCTAAAGGTGATAACCTGTTATATCCCTTACATTCGTCCTTATGTATTATCATTTCCGGCATGATCAAGCGCTGAATTATTGGAATAAATATGGTGGCACTTCTATCAGATATTGTTTCCACAAAAGCATCACAAAGTCCCGGCACCCAAACTTGATTAGGCCTTCCGTCCCCTCTACAATTCCTCTCTTTCTTTATTGGATCAGTTTCGTCAATATGCATGGTAACTCCTATTCTTCTTAGGCAAGTGGTAATCCTCTCTAATTTCCATGATGCTGAGTTTCTACAATGCTGACACCATTGTAATGTCTCCACTACTGCTGCCCTTACAGGCCTTTGCAAAATCCTACAAACATGAGCCGTGGGATATCTGACAAGGATAGTTTAGACTTACAGAAAAAAATTCCAAGGAAACAAGTAAAATAGTGTACCTACCCCTACGAAAAGATTTTCTTTTATAACATGAACTGAATCTTTAGCAATATATATCGATCGCATGGCTGTGTTGGCTTTTTATCATACTCTCCTCAATCTGTTATTGACACAGTAATCAAACACTCGGTTTTCATGTAACTCATTCACTATATCCATAAAGGCAGACATGATTTGATTTGGAATGACTTTTCTTAACGTTCTCTCAATCTGAGTGACTATCGAAAGTCAAGTTTTTACGGTCCTTGACTTTAGCTGTTACAGTTCAAATTCGCCTCAGACCTTTCACCTTGGTAGTTAAGATAATTTATACGCGTGTTTTGATTTTTTTTACGAGTTGATCACGGACTGATATCAGTTAGAGAACCATTGAAAACCAGGGAGTACTGGACAACTGCTGTTTCATCCTAGTTTGGGAATCATCGGCAGTACGCACCCACTGGGATTTCTTATTTTCTGTAGTTGCATTTATTAGCGACTATATTCTAAACTTCAGCCTACACGTTGCTCTTCTGTGTGAAACTTCACATTCAACAATACTGAGATGAGACTGAATTACCACCCACATTTAAGACTTACTACTTATCTCATTAGTTATAAGCATATCTTCAGACAGATACTTAGTATTTCGCAAGAGCATGTAGAGACAGAGGATTTTTGAAGCCAATGATTAGCCTACATCGATTGTCCAGTTCGCGAATTATCATAATTCATATGTAAATAAGTTGAAGCATACTCTACTTAGAATAAATTAAATACCAATTTTTTTTTGTCACAAGAGTTACTGTTAACGGTTATCACATTTGTTTTATCAGTCTCTCTTATGACTGTCACTTATATCAACTACTATTATTAGGTATGTTTATCGATCGAAACTGACTATTCCTAACAAAGTTTTATATGATTTTGATTGGTCCTCTCGTTTGCCTTTATTTCATATTTCCTTCTAGTTAGAATTGCTTTTAATTATTAAGAAATGAACATATACATTCCCATTAGAACTATTACTAGGAACTTAAGATGTCATTTCATTTGACTACATTACAGATTTCAGTGGTATTAGTTCATTTAGGTAAATATGAACTGTTAGACGGTTGGAGGTAATCAGCAGGAAGTCTGCGACCTAGGCTTCATGCCAATGAGCCCTATTACCTTAGTGGTTACCTCTCTGATTGTAGCACTGGGTGACACGCTTTCAAATCCCCTTAAAAAAATGAGTTTCTTCAAGATAGCAGATATGTCTTGCTGACGATGGCCAACAGGCACGAAACCTAGGTTCAAGGCTTCCTGCTAATTACCTCCAACAACTAAATTACAGCATTTCAGAGTATCGTGTGGTCGTAAGCTATCCAGTATGGTGGTCATACCTCAAACTTTGACTAACAGAATTCAGTCTGCGCCAATCAAAGGAGTAGACACATTAAACTAGTTACTAACTAGTGCCCAGTGAAATCGTGAACTACTTCAGCGTGCAAGTTTTCCATATATAACCTCTTTCAATCATGGAATATTTCTTTCTGTTATGAAAAAATCTAATTTTTCAGAATATAGGATGTCAGACAAAGAGAATGGTAGTAGGAAGAGCTTTACTGCTTGATTAGTATCTGCCGATCTTATGTCAGAATAAGAACCAAACAACTGTGTATTGTCTGAGTGTATAGTCCGCAAGAATAAGGAAAGATTGTGATACTTGTTCATGCCTCTTCATAATTTCCGCCTGTACACTGATTTTTTGCAGTTTGGATGAAATTAAGGATGAGTTTTATGGAAGACTGTTTGATACATTGCCAATAAGAAGATACTCAGATTTAACCATATTAGTGATTGATTCTAATTCCGTTTTAGCGATTTTAGATCTAACGGAAGGGCATATTGTGGCTATCTGGGCATTTTAGTGCTGATAAACCGACAGGATGATATTCTGCAAGAGTTATTTTGTAGAGACTGGATTTGTTTCATTTTTCATCACGGACTGATGTCAGTTAGAGAACCACTGAAACCCTTCGAGTACTGGTCAGCTGTTTTGTCCTAGTTTAGGACTCATCGGCAGTATGTACCTTTCAAGGTTCGAACCCAGGACCTCCCCATTACAAAGCAAGCCCATAGACTTTTCAACTGCAGGAAGAAGTTTCCTAGAGTTCCGGCGCGAAGTTTTGAACATTTGAGTCCGTCAGGCCAAGTGTGAGAGAAAACATTAGCCAATGACATTCGCTGGTGGTTGCTCTAAATTCACAAACTGGTAGAAGCTGGAATTCATTGGCTACTGAGTTGGATTCCAGTGACTAGGTGGTCTAGGAGCTTGACTTGTAGTCGGAAGGTCTTGAGTTTATATTCTAGGGAGTGAGCACTACTGAAGAGTCGCAGTTCCAAGTAAATATATGCAATATGCACTCGAGCTAAGTGATTCAAATGACCAAAAATGCGTTGCAAAGACAAAGAACGGCTAATGATTAATAGTAAGCAGAAGGGGTATGTTAGTTTCATATATCCAGAAGCTGTAGTAAGATTTTTTTAGAGTACAAAGAAATTGCACACTTCTATTGATAACTCATTGAAGGTAAACTTGAAAACCGATCACTAATATCGGTTGCACGTATAAAAGAAGTAATGTCCCATTTCAAGTCATCAAGAGAGCATATTTCACTGTGGCTGTACGGTTACGGAGTTATCGTGATTGTATGTAACGCAACAATTAGTCTTTGGTGGCAGTATTATCATTACGAATATACACTGGTCTCTGATGAAAGCGACAGAAGGCAAATATATACCATTTTAATAATCCAAAAACTCTGAACAACTTCTACAAAGTGACTAATCTTGTCTATAAAAAGCCTCGACTTTTTCTGAATAATCTGTGCTATATTTAACTAGATAATGAAAGGCATAGGCATCTCAGTGGTAGAATGCTCGCCAACTGCAAATGTGGTTTGGGTTCGATTCCCGGCTGGCATACTCCTAAATCACGCTTAGCCAACAGTAAGTCTGACGAAGACGGTAGGTTGGGCGTGAGCCTAGTGATACCACCAAATGAAAAGTCACTACCTTGGCTATGACTTCAAAGCTCCAGCTTGAAATCTTGTGGTCTGGTCACAACTCAAAAAAGTGCTGGGAAATATATGAAAGTTGATGTGAAATGCTTTAGTTCATGTTATCGGATGCCTATTTAGATAGGAGATATAATTCAATCTGCCCCAAAGAAAGAACTAAACACATCACACTAGTTACTGACTAGTGTCCAATCAAAAGTATCCAATACAGCCCAACAAGAAGTCAATCGCGAGACCAAATAGCTCAATGCTAACGTCTCTGATTGCAGCACTGAGTGGCGTGGGTTTGAATCCCAGAGGGGACATGAACAGCTTCAAGGTTTCAGACACGCCTTGCTGACCGGTGAATGCCAACTTGCACGAAATCTACTTCCAAGGCTTCGTGCCGATTGCCTCTAACTATGTAATACCATCAATTCAATGTGCACCATGATGGCGAGCTACTTAGAATGGTGGCTACATTGCAAACCTGATTGACAGAATTCAGTCTGCATCAAAGAGAGGACTAGACACATCACACTAGTTACTTGTGTCCAATCAAAACAGTCTTGTTAAAGATTTAATTCAATACTCTTTGTATAGATATTTTTTCTTATTGTCTATAACTGACTGTCTACTACTAGGCAGCTTAGCCAACGTGTTAGTGAACATCTCCCATCGTGGTTTGGCAAAGGACAGACAAAAACAATCGTAGCTCTATTTTGTCACATTTAATTGATAGTGGTCATGTAGTAAAGAAAACGAGAGCTTTCAAAATAATTCATCGTATCCCACCGAATCTTTCCAATAGACTTCGTATTCGTCTACTGCACACAGCTGAGGCGGTAGGCATTTGAACTATTAAACCTAAACTATGCATTCAAAAGAAGTTCGTACAGCCATTATTTCTCCCTTGGCCTATTAAGGTATAACCAACTAATGACTTCTACACCACCCCTTACTTATATTTTCAACCCCTTTCTTATCATTCCTTAATCTTA